TTGTTCATTTGAATTTTGAAGTTGTATTTTCTTTTCTTATTCAAACAAGTATTGTCATGTCAAACTTTTTTATTTCATTAATGCATTACACATGTCTGTCTTGAATTACATTTTTTTTCATTATGCTTAAATTGCTTTATATTTCCTTTTCGTGATATTCAACTCTCGACTAAAAAACTGTAAGCCTTTAGAGGGAGGATGACGAAAACGATACCACAATCTCTACAGTATGCTTTTGAACAGACCTTGTTGACGATGTACAAGCGTTGTTTCAAATCCTAAACAGTGGAGTTATAAGGAAGATAATCCCTAGTCAACCCCTTCGAGCCAAAAAAGTAGGAGTTTTTCTTTTCACACATATTAAAACCCTTAATCATAACCTGGGGCAGGGTAGTTTTCTCAGTTAATTCAGAGGCGCATTCAGTCACAATCTGCCGCTTCGTACACAATGAATGGCATCAAAGACGTCCTTCCGAAACAAAAGATGGTGATGGTTCCCTATAATAATCAAGACATGCAGTCATTATCTCTCGAAATAAAAGCCCATTAAGTCAAAACCTATGAAGGAGACTTAAGAAAAAACACTGGGGCATCCCGCTGACTGCAATCACAAAAAGAAACAGTTCAGGCAAAAGACAAGGATAATAAAATAAAAACGAAAGAGGTCATACAAACCCTCAACAAAAAATAAATGACTGCCTATTCAAAATAAACTGTCAGTATCTGAACCACCACTGGAATATTAGAGCAAAGACTCAAACGAGATCTAAATTCACAACTAGCTGAGTTTAGGATCGAAGAACATCACGAAGAACGGGTGGGTACAAATAAAATTTGAGCCTTTATCCTTTGTTTCTTAAACCGTGAACCAGACCACGTTATAACCCTTAAAAGTCCTAGCTGAAGCATGGGTTAGTTCGAAAACATACTGTTACAAAAGGTATCCTGACTTCTGAAGGTCCGTTACAAATCCTGAGTTGATATCACATCTTTGCAAAATTCTATTTTTCTATAAAAAAAACTGCATTTTCAAAACTTCAAGACAAACATAAGCTTTCCATTCTTAAAATAACATTGTTTGCATATGACTATTTGTTCAACAGTAGAGAAATTCGCATGATGAATATCTAATGAACAAAAACCTTCTCAATAAAAAGGATCACCTCAAGTGGAAAAACACTTCCAACCAAGGGGCACGACATGATCATTGTCCATCATCTGGGGCGGTCAAGTCAAGATTCAAGGAATCTCTCAAAGATGCCAAATAGCCATGGGCAGATCTCCATCTGAATCACTTGGGGGCATTGGGCATGAATTCCAGCAACGAATCATGTACGATCAAACAAACATCTTATGGTAACAACAACCCAAGCAAAGATATTTCATTCGACTAAGGTTTTCGGCATGTTCAACAACAAACTTAACGAATTCTAATACCCCGTTCTCGTAATCTTTTGACAATCGATTGGAAGACATCCATTTTTATCCATAATTTTACTACTAAGTAAGCTAAACAAAACAGTAAATTAATCACGCAGCTACAACAAAAGAACAACTAATTACCTGTAAAGAAGTCAACAACTTCTGGGACCACACAGTGTAAAATTCTTGGAACGATCAGAATTTCACTCTTCACAAGAGAAATCGGAGATGCAACAGCGACTATGAAATTGGGCAGCAACTACACAAAAATGAACCAAACAAATAATATTGATTAAATGGATAACTTTTGACCTGAAACAATAGAGTAATCATGGAGAACTTTCTTAAGAGCATGAATGTTAGCCATCTTCCCAGAGCATAATATGAGTATATCATCTGCATATAAGATGTATGAAGGAACCAAGTTATTTCTAGAATGTTTGATTAAATCCAACTCACCATTTAAGACCAACTTTTGGACCTTTTGATTTTTTTTTTATATTTTATGGAAGAAATATGTGTTTCTATCTCCAGACTTATGCCACTTTATTTAACCTTTTCAGACCAGAAAGTTTATTATTTTCTTCGAGCTTTTTCAAGCTCTAGTTGAGCTTGTCTTTCCTGCTTATCATACTAATGACACACTACTCTCCAATATTCTTCTTGAGTACATATGATACAACCAGTATTGAAAATTTGCAATCTCTAGTACAATGTCAATCTTATGGCTGCAATATCCCTACTAAGTTCCTGTATATAATAAGGGAACAATAAATAGTTTTTCTAGAAAGTACTGCATTAGAGTCGGGTATACGTGCAGCTCGACCTCTACAGTTTAGACATGCGGACTAAACATACAAGGCCAAAACGTATGCTCGCGCCTGCAACATTTTAAGTTTTAACTGCAAGTCAAGTAGCTAATAAAGGAACTTGTGGGTAACAAGATATAGATACTCCCCTCACAATCATTATTCTACACTGTTTGCTTAATAAAAAACTACAGAATTTGGTTTATCATACCCTTAATATATAAAAAAATGAATGATCGTTTAGAGTTTTGACAAAAAAAAAATCACCTAAACCCTAAAGAGGTAAAGTGATTCAACCTTATGGCGTCATACAAGAATAGGTCTGTTAAGCCCTGAGGTTATTTCTAGTCATATCAACAAAACTTCATAAGCCTTTTTTTTATTACTATATATTTACACATTAAGAAAGCAAACAAGTGTTTCAAGGTTGATCTCAGAAACTAACTAGTCTGACGCTGTTCCACTATAACACAACATGAAGATGACCCAAAAAAGAAACTATAATAAACAGAAATTATCATACATCAATAGAAGAAAGAATGTAATCACATAGTTGTTTCGTTTTCTCTGGTTTTCTCAGCGTATTCGTCTCAACAGTCACAGAGGGATTCATATCTTTGATTTTCTCTGGTTTTCTCTTGTTGAACCGTGATAGAGAGAGTAAGGCGGTGATTGACGGTTGTAATGCGATGGAGTTAAGCGAGTTACAGAGAAATATGTGAAATAGAGATTCGCGTTGTAGAGAAATGTGTTTTGAGAAAATAACGAAAACCTTTGAGTTTTAGGGTTTTCGTTTTTTTAATTTAGAAATAAGATATTAATGACCTTAGGCACCACTTCGTAGAAAGCGCTTTCTGATGTATTACCTTTAACAACGCTTTTTCATTAAATGGTGTTTTTCCGATGTATATGAAACGCTTTCTAAACACATCCTTTAGCAGCGCTTTGTGGGTATGTATGGCCTTAAGCAACGTTTCTTACAAGGGCTTTTTAAAGTAAGCTTTTAGCAGCGCTTCTTCTCAAATTTCTTTTAAAGCTATAGCAGCGCTTTCTAAGAAAGCGCTGTCAATAGTGCGCTTTGGGCCTATGGCAGCGCTTTCTACTGTTGGGTCTATAGTAGCGTTTTCTTTAGTGAACCTAAGACAACGCTTTTTCTTAACTTTAGGCAGCGCTTCTTTATAAAGCGTTGTCTAATGTATAGTTTTAAAATTTAAAATTTTATACTGTTGAGCCTATAACAACGTTTTCTTTAGTGAACCTAAGACTTCACTTTTTCTTAACTTTAGGTAGCGCTTTTTTATAAAGCGTTGTCTAATGTATAACTTTAGGCAGCACTTCTTTATAAAGCGTTGTCTAATGTATATTGTTTTAAAATTTAAAATTTTATCGGAACATTTAATAGCGTTTTGGTTCAGAAACACTGTCTAAGGTGCGCTGCCTAAAAACAGTTTTGACATAATGATCATAGAGTCATCAACCATTACACTTCAATATCAAGTACATGTTGAGCATAACCGAGAATACAAGACATATTGACTTCATTTTTCCAAAAATTGTCTCAGACTTAATCTTCATCTACAGGTTCTTGTTCTTCTTCATTGAAGATTCATACAACTCTTTCAACATTTTAAAAACTTGCATCTTTTTCAAGTTGTTCTCATCTTTGCTCCAATCCTCATCAACAATTTCACCAACCTCCTTTTCTTGTGATAAATCTTCATCCCATATAAATAAATCATAAGTTTTCTCACTTTTTCAGAATGTGCATCTCCATAAAAGTTTTCCTTTGTTAGATCCATGCTTGCAATGATATGAATCATACAAACATTACATGCACACTTTCTTCCTGGACAATTGCTCCCAATTATGTAATGAGAAGATCCTGATTTACTGCGCCTTGATGAAGATGCCATGAGCAGTAACGCGAAGAACATGAAGGAGAAGATAAAGAATAGTGAACGAGAATATTAAAGCGCAACAGTTGAAACGGCAAAAAAAAAAAAAACAATGGACAAGAAGGGAACAAAACAAATTAGAGTTTTTCTAAGATTATTTTGAAAAAATTATATATTTAAATAAAGATAATCCTATCTTTAATTGCTAAATATAAAAAAATATGACCATTGACCATCCACATAAAAAGCTGTTATATGGACTGAAAGTTTATAAGATTGTTTGAAAAAATTTAGAGAAACTAAAAATAAAATATAAAATATTTATAAAGACCTCAAATATATTTAACTCTTATATATATATATATATATATATATATATATATATATATATATATATATATATATATATATATATATATATATATATATATATATATATATAACTTGAAAAGAATAACACACTATACCATTATATATCTTTAACCTCACGCTGATTTAGTTTATTTTAAAAAATATTAACTATTTAGTGTTATTTATCATATTACAAACTATGTTAGTATTATGTTACCCAATTGAATTTTTTTATTGAAATACAAGTAAAAATTGCCTTTTAATTTAACTACTTGCTTGACTTTAATACAATTACAATCATAAGATAAGAAACCCAAGACATTTTTGCTTTCAATTTTCCCTTCTCTAAACAAATACCACCATCAAGAAGTCAAACATTTGACCCATTACAACAATATTGCACAATATTATATTCTATGCAATGGTTACAATTAACATATTTCCCTATTCACCTTTATTATATCACTCTAAACTTATTGCTAGAAAATAAAATAATTAATTAGAAAACTAATAATTAATATAGCTAGTTATTGTTGGTATTGATATTTTGTTGTGAAAGCTTAATTTGAAGCTGAGACATAAGGTCTTGATTCTCTTTATGCAAAAGCATAGCTTGTTTCCTCAACTTTTCATTCTCCTCAATGATGGTTTGATTCTCCATATACAATTTCAAGTTCTTCATTTTAATCTCTTCTTTCACTATAATCATCTTTTTCCTTTCTTTTGCTTCTTTCAATTGTGTTCTCCTTCTACATAACCAATCAAATCATACATGTTAATTAATACTATAATGCTAGATAATGAAAATATATAGAAAAACTATATAATAAAAAATAAATACAAGAGAGTACCTTTTGAGGTGAGTTAATTTAAGGTGCCTATGTTTCTTGGAGAGAGGAGCATAATAAAAGGTGTCATGTTGTGAAGAGAAACAACACATTATGTTTGGTTTTTGAAATGAAAAATGGAAGGTTAAGAAGAGATATTGATAGATAGTTAGTGAAGTGAGGTGAGGTGTTTATATAGGTGAGTTAAAAATGATAGTATGAGAAAAATGATGAATATAATAGCTGTGATTTTGTGTTTGTATGTGAGGGGGAGAGAGAGAGAGAAGAGAGAGACTTTTATGGTAATGATGGCATAAGGAGTCATGATTACAAAGGGCAGGAATAGATGAGGAAAAGCAGAAGAGATGAAGAAAAAATGTCTCTCTTTCTTTTTTAGTCTTTTTATTTTATTGCATTGTTTCAGAGTCTAAAAGCTTTGAGTAACTTTACAAATTCATAAAAATAAGAGAGGAATAATGGTATTTGAATTGAATGTGTTGAAAATTTTCTCTATAATTAAATATTTATTGAAATATTTTTTAAATTTGTCTTTAGTTAATTGAATTTTAAATGTGCTTTGTGTTAATTAATTAAGAATTTTAAAATTATTAATTTTTATATTACAATTTTGTGATTTGATTGCGAACATATGTAAAATAGAATTTGAGTTTTAAATTCGAATTATCTTATTTATTTTTTTCTATTTACAAATAAATATGTGTTATCCAATTATAATTTTGTATAAAATTATTTATAAAAGATGTATTAAATGAAGTTTTTTTTATTTTAAATTTAAATATATTATTTAAAAAATACTGACTTGTACTTAAAAAAAAAACAAAATTAAGATTTTGTTGACAAAAAATCTCAGTGTAACAATAATTGTCAAATTTTATAATTTTAAATAAATTAAAAAACAAGATATATGATAAAATTCAAATAATTATTTTATTAAATTGTCTTTATGAAATATTAATATATTTAATTTTTATAAATATAAAATAATAATTTCTTGAGTGATACACATATTATTAAACTTTAAATATGTAGTTTATAAATATTTCATTTTTAATTTTAATTTTTATAATTTATTTATTTGGTTTTCATCATTACAAATATATGTATCATTAATTATATTTTTTACTTCTTATTTTATTGTTTTAGTCTTTTCATAATTTATTTAAATTGAAACCAGTTGAACTAATATGTATCTAATATTAAAATCGATCCCTTTAATATAGTATAAAATCAAATATTTTACATATTATATATTTCAATTTTAATATTAACTAATTTTACAAAGACTAAAATAAAAAAATAGAGATTAAAAACAAAATAATACATATTTGTAAAAACCAAAACAAAATGATATTTTTATAGAAACTAAATTAATAAAATAATATATTTTTCAATTGAATACATATTTAAACTTAATTCTAATCAATAGAAGATAGAGTTGAAGAATAAAAAATCAATAATTTTTTTTTAAATGTAACAATGATTATGGGACCAAACTAGTAATTACCCCACCCATGGTTTAGAAGTTTCCCATTGAGTTTGAAGACTTTATAATGGAATTTGGGATATTGAAAAGAGAAGATATTCATGAAATTATAATCAAATGGACTATGAAAACTTTATAAAGTCATGTCATAGAGTTATAATCAAATTAGTTGTGCTAATTATGGTAATAAAGAAGATAAGCATGAAATTGGGTAACATGCATTTACTCCATGTTCATTTAATTTTAGACACTTTATGGTTACTTGCTTACACCACTTTTATGTTATGCCCACTTTTTTCAGAATATAAATCTGAATTTATTGTTTTATTCTACTAGTTTGTTGTTTTTCTATCATGGCTTTTTATGCTCTAATTAATGTGAGATGAAAACAAAAGATTATTTTGTATACTTATATAAAAGCTTTGCCAACACTTTGTAAATAATGTGTGTAAAAGATTTATTAAAAAAAAAAACACTTGTTTTGATTTTATTTTAGAGCTTTGGTAACACTTTGTAACTATTGTGCTTAATATATTCACACAAAAACAAAAATAAAAACTTGTGTTTAACTATCATCTATATTAAATCCACCATTAAATTTGATATTAAGTGTCAATTTAGCACAACTACATATTAATTAACTTTATTTTATAATAACATTAGTATTTTTTTTCAAAAGTTATTTGTTACTAATTTTACTTAATTTGCAATATATTTTTAGAAATATTTAAGTAACCTAAAAAAGGTTTTATTTGAAAAGCAGTCAAAAGTTATAATTTGTTCCATTTAATTAGTAGCAAAACTTAAGAATCTAGAAAAAGTTAATGTTTGAAAAGCATAACAAACCTTTGTAATCTTCTCTATTTGTTTCATTCATTCACACTACGTGTTAGATTTGAATATTGAATTAAGAAAATCCATAACATTGTAATGATGGTTATGTTTTTATAATATTTTCTTAGAAAACATAACACCCACTTTTTCATTCATTAAACGTCACTTAGTTGAAGTAATAAAATTTTATTATATAATAATAATGGTGGATTAAAGAGAAGAGACAAAGATTAGTATTCTCAAGGCATTTTGAGCATAGTGTATGCTCCAATGAAGTGATAGTAATAATAATGAAAAGGAGGAGTCACGTGGAAGTCACGTGAGGGTAAGAAGAGAAGAGAAGTGAAGATGAAAGGGGTAAGTAGTCAATGAGGTTAGGTCCCTTATTTTGTCTCTTTTCTTTATGTAATTGAGTACCAAAACCATGCTCATTAATTTGGAAAATGATCCCCATTTTGGCTTCATCTTCTTCTATATCATCATGACCACTATACTATACCCCCCTTTTCTCACATTCATTGGAGGGTTTTTGTTTATATCATCATGATTTTTAGTGGAACCTTGTCCAACTTCTCCTCACCCATTTCACATCTTTCCCTTAACTTGTTTTTTTGCATCTTCTTTTTTTATTTAACCATGAAAAACCGACACTTGTAATTTAAACTTAGTTTGATTAAAAATTGTTTTAGTTACATAAGAATTAAATTAGTGATATGCTTGATTGAACATATATATAGTTTGTGAATAACCAAGATGGTAAAACAAATGGATGGTTCCATAGACAATAATTTCCCTACTAAATTTAGGAGAAAAAGCAACAATGCGACATATATGTAGAAGTAATGTGTGAGATGATGTAGCTAGGAAAGCGAAGTATCATACTATAGCAAAACGTGTGGGGTTAATTTAATATTAAAGTGACTCATTCTCTTTTAATAGAAAAAAAGCTACATATGAAATGCAAAGGGAAAAGAGATAAAAGCAATTTTGCATATAACTCCATATATTTATTTTGATGTTGATTTTTATCTTCTTTCATGATAGTGTATATTACATGAAATTCTATAACTTTGATTTTTACCAAAGATGAATTATTTTCTTGAATCCCTCATCATGTTCTTTTGAACAAGGAAAGTTGAGGTATTTGATGAGGACAAGGACCATAAGGGCTTCACTCATTTCTTGTATTACTACCTCCAAATTATACTTTGCACTATGTGGGATGGAAGATGTTTGTAGTCAACAATGATATCAAACTTCCTATCTTTATTTTCAAGATCATTATATTGCCTATGATGTTTTATTTTCTTATTTTATCTAATTTTAAAGAAGATTCTTTTGGGTGCATGTGACATGTGAGGCATTTAGGGTTAGGTACATTGAAGGAAGGTGATAAACAATTCTTTACTTTAAATGATAGTTCAATTGTGCTTGCATCTTTGTATATTTTTACTTGCATATATAGTAGTGATATGTACCTAAAATATAAAAAGGTAATGTTACTTAATTGATGTCTAATTGTAATTAATCATTTGAGTTATGAAAATACATTTAAGGATATGTCTCAAATGATGTTGTAAAATGATAAATAATAGAAAGAATAATATATAATAGTGTAGGATAATACAAGATAATAGTATATGATAGTATAGAATAATACAAAATATTTTTTTGTACTATACTGTATTTGATAATTGAGAAATTGGACAATTTTTCTAATCTATTTTGTTTGATAAATTTATATATTAAATACAATAATATAATTTTTTTTATATAATATTTATTATTGATATATAAAATATGATATTTTGATAGTTTTTGATAATTTGTGTTTGAGACAAAAAAATTGTCTTATAATTTGTTGAAGAACAAAAATTCATATTTTTGTCCAGATTTCTGACACATATTTTATCTAATTTTCTGATTAATTTCTAAATAAAATCTATAATATTTACGATGAAAAAAACATATATTTGTTTTGTTTAGGTCCTTTCTATCAAAATTTGTTAAAAATTAATATGAACAAAGTAGAATAGATGGACCCAAAATTTTGACAAATTAAACGAGTTAAATAGAGTAGAGATTCACTTTATTTTCTTAAAAAAATTGAGATAGTTTTGTGGGTAAATTATATATATTTTTAAGACATAAAACTCATATTTAATATTTATTTTATTTTATACATTCAAAACTATAATGATTGATCTTTCATTTTTTTATAAATGAAGTGAATTTCTATTCAATTAAATACATCCTATTTTATCACCTCTAATTTTATTACTTCTTTTAATAAAACAAAATCCCTACTACGTCAATTTTCTACAATTAAATTTTGTTATGCATACTAATAATGTAAAGTGAAAAATGTTTGGGGCAAATTAGATTTTGTAAATCTTAATTTGATCTAATGAAAAATCTTAAGGTCGAATTCTATTTTATAGCTTATCGTAACTTGAAATTTAGGTGTGAGTTTGACTTCTTCTTTTTTTTAATTGATTTGGTGTATTAGTTCTATTTTATGATCCATGTTCCTAAAGTTATGAATCCTTGTTCTTTAGGTGACTTTAGGCTTTCCTTTTTGGTTGGTTAGTTGTATAAATTGATAGCAAAGGTTTTGGCTAAGAATATGAGTTCAGTGATAAATAAATTGATCTCTTCAAACTAATCGAAGTTCCTTAAAAGGAGAATGTTTGTTGATGGTGTTGTGACGGTTAATGAGTTGATTGATTTGATTAAACGCTCTAAAAAGGTTTATCTTTTTTTTTTAAATTGATT